TTAGGTATCTATAACAATTTATAAGTATCTATATTATAATATAGGTAAATCTATCTAATATCTATAGATGAGCTATAGATTTAATATATTAGGTATTTATAATAATTTATGAGTATCTATATTATAATATAGGTATCTAATATATAATAAAATTAAAAAAAAAAAGCATACATCATCATAGCTATATTTCTATAATAAAATTAAAATAAAATAGTCAAAGATAAATATTTTTATTACAAAATGTTATTTTGACAAACTTTGAGTATTCTAATGATATTTATGTATAAGTATTAGATTAAAGACCTTGAAAAGTTATGAATATTTTTTTTATTAAATTTAAACTTTCTATCAGTATATTTAATTTTTTTAAATACCAAAAAAAAAAAGACTTTTTAGCAGATTTTCAATGTCAATTTTCTAAAAATGTGATACCTCCCAGATTTTTCCAAATATGAAAAAAAAGTGTCTAGATGGCGCATTTACTATAATTAATAACATTTTTGGGTACTCCGATAGTAAACTTAAACCTTAAATTTCTGAGCTGTGCAATATAAGGGAAAGTGCAGGTTTTGTGACAGATCAGGTTCTAAACTTTTGGCAAATAGCTAGAATTCCAACAAAATAATGTTATCATGTTATAACACGTTAAAAAACTTGTTAAGAAATACAGAAAGCTCAAAAAGGAATAAAGGCTGCAAAACAGAAACCCAGCAATGAAATGAAGAAACTTTATCTCGAAAAAATTCAAAAATTATTTAACCTTGCTCTTAAAGATGCTTTAAAATTAATCGCAATAGAAGAAAACAAGGTGCTTCTTATGCTACAAACAGAACGAAAATATACGAAAAGCAGTTAATTGTGAACATGAACAGCAAATTTTATACAGAAAAAAAAAAAGGCTAAAGAGAAAAGCTAAAAAGAATAGAAGAAGGAGCATGTTCAACAGTCACGGACCTAGTTTTGACTCTATCAAAATTAGGTCTGTGATCTACCTATGCTAAAGTAGTAAATGAAATTTGTTCCTTCAGGAAGTTGGGTATTTTTAATCTTGTCGAGTTAATGGAGGAAAAGGATCTTTGAAAATTGTCATAAATATAAACATACTTATCCATCATTGTTTTTGAATTTTCAACCAAGAAACCAGAACTAAGGTCAAAAAAAAGTCATACTCATCATTTTACATCTAGTGGAAAATCACCATGGAAATCACCATAATCTGGAAACACTTTTCTTTCAGTTCAATTGATGTTTACTATGACCTCTGGCCTTAAAATCATCAACATCACCATTGGAGTATTTGTAAAAACTTATTTCTTATCTTGACTCAAATGACCAAAAAAAAATTTTTAATAATAGATTCACATTGAAAAATATTTGTTGCTATAGCAACATGTTAATTGATGAGAATGGAGTTCCGAAGACTTTAGAATTACTAGCAGATTAATTTAAAATGTACAACTTAGATAGTTATCTCATATGCAGATGTAATATCATAAAATATCTCATCCCTGTGAGATATTAAATTGGCTGAAGAATATTATCAACTGCTATAGTGATAGTTTAAATAAAAAATGTGACATTTTATTCTCAAATTGAATATCTGAAATGTATTGAAACCCTGAGGTTTAAAGAAGATTTTTTTTTTTAAACTGTTTTCAAAACTTTTTGGAACAGGTTTTTTTTAATTTTATTTATACAAGCAAGGGAAAACTGACCTATCTATCTACATAATATTATCAGATATGTTAGTACTATTGTTTGCAGAAAGTTAATAACTCAACAGTAATAACAGCAACTTAGTAATTAGTTATCTAGGTTTCCCTTTGTTTGATTTATTTGCTGATCAAAGTTTTGGAATAAAATATATCCTGCAGGTTTGTAGTCCATGCTTCACTTGCAAATATATGTCTATAATGTATTTTTTTCAAAGCTAATTCACTCCCATTTGCAAAGAAAATTTCACATGGTCAAAAGTTTCACATAATCAGATTTCATCTCAAGAAGTATCTTGATAAGCAAAATTTATTTAAATTAAATTTTCCTGTTTAGTGTTGCGTCAGAACAAATGAAGCAGTGTATAAAAATCTACACAAGACACTGAAAAGTTTAAAGAAAATATTTCATCTAATATTTTTCATCAAATATTTCAATTAAAAGCTATGATAGTAGAATGAGGTTTTAAGAAGATTTTTAAGATATGTTAAAAAAAAGCAATAACTTTTTGTTACATATTACTTAAAACAATGAAATCATATTTAAAATTTATTTGGGTCAATTCATTTGTCTGAATTTTGATTTTGTGTATGTTTATGGTTTTTTTATTTCACGTCAACCTACTAAAGTTTTTAAAAAAAGTCAAAATAGTTTGAACTAAAAACTTCTGAAAAAAACTGTGTGGAAATTCAACACAGCTAACTTTTATTTATCCTAAAAAAATAAATTTAAGTTCTTGCTAATGTACAAAGTGATTCAAGGTTGCATTTAAATGAATTTAATGCTATTAGAAGGCCAGAGTCAATTTAATAATATTCATTTACCATTTGATAGTAGCTATTTGTGTAACAAATTCATCACCATTGGTTAGTTACCATAAGTCAAGAAATTGTTTAGTCAAAATACTACAAAAGTATTTTTCACTAGAGTTTAGTTTGTGTATCGCAAGAAATATAACATGTTATATAAATAAGTATTATTTATAAAACTTGTTATATTATTAGTGATGATTATTTGACTTATATGATATATTTTTTATTGGTTTATCATTGAAAACAGTTCAACTTTTTAAATTACTGATTAAATTACAGTCTGTAGGGGGGTGCAAAGGTTGCAATGCACCAGGGTTCCACATTTTCTTAAATTTTAAAATAAAGCTCGTAAAAAAACTTATAACTATTAAAGAACACTTCAGAGAAAGTTTTTATAGATGGTGGAGTGGCCAGCAACAGAATTCAAAAATATAAATCTGGTGCTTTAAATAAAAAAAAACTCTTCAAATAAACAGTCTTCATTATTAAACAGACAGGTTCTCTAAAAAAGTATTTTAAAATTTTCTGTAATCGTTTTACTTTTTCCAATTCCAAGTGAATCTTTTTACTGAAACTTTTTTTTATCATGTTACAATCAGTCAACCTGCAATCAAAAGAATCAAAAGGCAATATGTTACATGTTACAACAGGCTGTTGGATGTATTTCCAAATCTATGTGTGGCTCTGTAAATTATAGAAACTGTTATTTTAATTACTATAGTCTCAGAAGAGTGAAGTTTTCTGAGCATAAGCTGAATAAAATCACAAAAGAACCACAATGAATCCTGATAGACTTCATACACTGTCTTTAATTTCTATTGTAAGTCATGTTGTTGGTAACATTAACTCTTTTGCTAACAGCCATTTTAACAAAAATCTTTTCGCTGTGACCGCAGATTTTTTTGAATAAAATTTGGATGGCATTACATTGACAAATTATTAAAATTCGAATAGTAGGTCTTTTTAAAACAAACTATATATCAATAGAAAACTAAACAAATGAACTTTTCAATTAAATAAGTTTTTAACATGCATCATCGAACATTTAGAAATGCAAAGTGCTCAAAACCATTGTTTTTTATAAATAGTAACTAAAACATGTTCAAAACAAAACTTATTTAATGTATAAATAAATGTTTTTCTTCAAAAGAATTTTTTAAATACTTATTCACTTCTGCAAGTTAAATTTTACAGTGTTAACGCTGTTTTATTTTAGTTAACTAAATTTAAAGAAGTTTA